TAATTTTGACAGGCTTTTCCAACATAAATACTAGTACTAATAATATAGCTACCATAGAACTCCACCACTAAAAACCTTTTTGTTGTTGTTGTTTAAGAATCTAGAGTTCTTTTATTTAATTATTTTATTTTTATATGATCTATTTAAATATATATGTATATATATATATAAGTATACATATACAAATTTAGTCTATGTGGCATATAGTTCTATTCATTTGGATAAGCTCTTACAGTCTCAGGTGTACAATTTAGTGATTCAACATTTCCACACAACACTCTGTGCTCATCACAAGTACACTACTTAATCCCCATTACCTATTTAACCCTTCCCCCCACCCACCTTCCCTCTGGTAGCCATCAGTTTGTTCTCTATGTTTAAGAGTCTGTTTCTTGATTTGCCTCTCTTTTTTCCCCTATGATCATTTGTTTCTTAAATTTCACATATGAGTGAAATCATATGGTGTTTGTCTTTCTCTGACTGACTTATTTCGCCTAGCATGATACTCTAGCTCCATCCACAGCATTGCAAATGGCAAGATGTCATTCTTTTTTAATGGCTGAGTAATATCCCATTGTGTGTGTATGTGTGCATGTGCAGAGGACATTTGGGTTGTATTCAAGTTTTTGGCAATTGTGAATAAAGTTACTAGAACTGTTCATGTATAGATTTTTGTGTGAACATAATGTTTTGTTTCTGTAAGGTAAGTATCTTGAAATGAGATTCCTGGACTATATGGTAAATGTATGTTTGATTAACCAAATAGCAAACTACCAAACTTTTCCAAAATGACTGCACCATTTTGTAGTCTCACCAGCAATGTATGAGAGTTCTAGTTATTTCACATCCCTGTCAGTACTTTGTATTGTTTTGATTTTAGACATTCTAAGAGGTATGTAATACTATCTCATTGTGGTTTCAATTTGCATTTCCTAATGGCTAATCATTTTGAACATCTTTTCATGTGCTTGTCATGTGTTTATTTGACATCTTTATACATTTTTCACTGAACTCTCTTCTTGAATCATCTGCCCATCTTTTGTTTTGGGTGTTCATTTTCTTAATAAGTTTTGAGATTTCTTTTTATAGGCTGAATACAAGTCTTTTATCAGACATTTGATTTGCAAAAATTTTCTCCTAGCATTGGGCTTTCTTATCCTTCTATTAACATGTATTTAATAGAGCAGACTTTTTATTTTTTTGTGAAATCCAATATAAAATATTTTCTTATATGGATTGTACTTTTGGTGTTGTATGTAAGAAATTTTTGCCTTACCTAAGATCACAATATTTTTCTCCTATGTATTTTTCTAAAAGAAAACTTTTCTAAAAGAAAATTTAAACTATAATGTATTTTGAGTTTATTTTTTATATAGTGTGAAAAATGGGTTGATATACTGTTTTGGTTTTTTTTTACCTATGTACATCCAATTTTTTCCAGCATCATTTGTTCACAAACTTCTCCCTACTGAATTACCTTTACCTTTTTGTAAAAAATCAATTGAGTATATATGTGTGGGTTGATTTCTGAACTATTAGATCTATGTATCCTTTAAAGTAGATATTCAATCAACGTTTTAATGAGGAAATGAGGCTCAAAGAGGTTAATTGCCCAACATCATTATAAATACACATGAGAGATTTTTTTTTTAATGTTTTATTTATTTCTAGGAGAGAGAGAAAGTGTGAGCAGGGGAGGGTCAGAGAGAGAGGGAGTCACAGACTACGAAACAGGCTCCAGGCTCTGAGCTGGCAGTCAGCACAGAGCCAGACGCGGGGCTCGAACCCACGAACCGTGAGATCATGACCCAAGCGAAAGTCGGACACTTAACCGACTAAGCCACCCAGGTGCCCCCACATGAGAGTTAGAGTTATTCAATGAACTGAAAAAAATGCTGTTTAGTATTAGACCAGATATGAAACACTGCTTTCACTCAGTATTAGACCTGGCCTTCAGGGTTTAAAAAATCTATTGGTCCACATTTATTAGTAATACAATAGCTAATATTTAGTAATAGTTGCCCATGTTCCTGCCATGATACTGAGTCTTTGTATACATCATCTCATCCAAGCCTCATTAGAACTCTTTGGAGAGGCTATTATTATCCTTGTCAGAAGAAGTGGGGCATAGATAGATATTATGTAACTGCCTCAAGCTCATAGAGCTTTTAAGTAATAGAGCTGAAATTAGAAGTTAGTTCTTTTACTTGCTCTTAGCCATTATTTTGTTAAACTGAAAGTCTGCAACAAATCAAGATTCTACCTACATTTACTGTTACCGGTTCTATATTTTCTATTACATTCTCATAGGCTTTTCAAAAGATTGTATAGAAGATCTTCCAACACAATCCATGTCTACAGTGTTTTCTTGATCTTTGGTATCTACAGTGCACAGCACTTACTAATTGCTTACAAATTATTGTTAAAAATGAAGTTAGCCTTTTTGAGAAAAAGCTATCAGAGAAACCAGAATGTCATTTTGGAGTTTATGACAGGGATTGATGCCCTGACATAGGCATTGTTTATAATAAATTTTATGTGAAAAACAACAAACAAACATAGAGGGTGTGGGGGTTTCTTATGTGATATATAGGACATCTTCTGGGTTTGAATATTTGGGCCATGGCAGATGATAATATTAATAGAGCAATTGCTCAAGAACTTGGAGACTCACTTGGAGTTGGAAAATTATTTAATAGTACCAGATCCACAGTTCCACTCTTCTTCCAGGAATTAGATTTCCCAGAAAATCTCCCTGACACCCAAAATTGTAGCAGAGATTTCCATGGTGTATTAACATAGCACTCTCTATTTTCTTAGCAACACCTTGCACATTCTAATTCTTTATTTAATTTCTTATTTAATATGTATATTCTGTAAAACACTTTATGAGGGCAGAATTGTGCCTGTTTTGTCACAGCCCAGCATAATGCCTGTGTTTCAGAAAGGCTTTCAACAGACTACCTGATGTAGAAAGCAATTGAGGCCAGTAGAATAACTGGTCCCTTGGATTCTTTTACAAGGGAAACTAAATATTGTAAGTGGCCTGTCACACTATTAAAAGAAGGCTGTTGGTCTGGCATAGTACTAGTTTTATAAATAAATAAAATTAGCAACTTTTCTTTGGTGAAATAATGGGGGAGAACATTGGAAACATAGAAGGACTTGCTAATGGAGAAAGTGCTGGCACTGAACTTCATTTTTTTCACAATTATTATAAAAAGAGTATTCCAGAGAAGTTGCCTACACTATTCACAGTATTGGACTTTAGGGGTTTTCGTTGTTGTTGTTGTTGTTTTTTCACCCCTCATCTTAGAATATTTGTGAGTAAGTCCCATGTCTGAAGACTGTAAACCAGCATAGCTAGTTTACAGTAGGCAGGTAGTCTTTTTTAAAAAAATATTGTTCCTTTTTGAAACTGTGTCAGCTTGTTTCTTGGAAGTTTATATGCTCCCATAAAAGTGATCCCACACTTTAGTGGATGAGTCAGGTTGATAACATCTGAACGAATTAATCAATCTTTTAACATGAGAAGAGAGACAATCAGATAATGTGACTCCTAATAAGATGCAGTAAGGAGACAAAACACATGATTTTTATAATTTATTATTGCCAAAAAATAATTAGACCTAAATCTGATCAAGCTTTTAGATCTATTACCAATTTTATAGGAAATACAAAGCAAAAAGGAATTTGTTAAGTAACAGCATGGAGATGCATTCAGCAAAGTCCTGAATATGAAATATTTTCTAGGACAAATCACATGTATAGATATATGAAATACATGCATCTGACTTAATCAGGGACAATTGAACAATATATGGCTGCTTAGTGACATTAACAATTTATCATTAATTTTTTCAGATATATTAATGCTACTATGATTATGCTTTTCAAAAGAGTTATTATTTTTAAAAATACATTTTGAAAAAATTATGGATGAAGTGGTATCATGTCTGAAGTTCTTGTTAACATCATCCAGTGGGGCATTGATCATTATTAAGAGTAGATAAAATGAGATTAGACAAATATTGATAAATATTTGAGCTAGGATAGGATAGGGTATGTGACATAATGATTTTCTACTTTTGTATAAGTTTGAAAATTTCCATAATAAATTTTTTTTAAATCACCAAAATAGTGATCAGACATTTGAAATTTCCCTTTAGCTCTAAAGAAGTTATTCAATTTTCTACAACTCTCATTTGTTCTGTTTTTCTAAAATTGTGCTGTGATGCATTGAAACACATAATGCTTTCCATAAGTACCCAGATTTCTTTTCTGTGTAAGTGTTTACAACATATGTCAGAAGTTTATGAAGTTTCATCCACTTGTCAAAAATAATAGTTGGATTTTACATTTGTGTAGCATGTACCTGGCAAAGTCAGGAAAAGAATCCAGTTCTCTAGCCTATCAGTTGAGTCCTCTATCCATTGGTTTAGGCTACTACTAAATTATGAGCCAGGTGACTCATATAAACACTCAGATCCTTCTGGCATGCCATACAAAATGAGAATTTGTTCCCGAGGATAACATCTGTTAGAGAGACTTTTGTATAATATCTGACAGCTCAAGATTCTTTGGATGCTTGACCACAGCCATGGATTGATAACAGAGCATACCAGCAGAATAATCAACACTGGATTGATTCATGCTCTGTTAACCTCACCATGAGTTAAGTTTTTGTTTTTTCCAGAGAAGACAGAGTCACCTATGTCATTGAGAGGGAGCGTGGATTCACGTGCTAGTTCTACCACTGTAACTTTTATAGCCAATGCAAGCTCCTTGGCCTCTTTAAGCTTCATCTATAAAATGGTGATAATAGTATGCACCTCACAGAGTTGATGCTCAGGACTAAGTGAGTGAAAAATTACATAAAGTACCTACAACAGTGTCTATCATATGTCTAAGCCATTTTTTTTTTCGAACTGAAAGAAAACTTTATTTAGTCTTCTTGTTAAAGCAATCTAGTTTAAAACCGAGCTAAGGTTAAGAAAAAAGAAGGAACATGAAACCTTTCACACACAATCAGACAGACGACAGACAGACAGACAGACAGACAGACGGGGTGGGGTGTTGGAGAGGGGCCTCCTCGTCAGATCTTCTCCATCTTGGAGATGAGGTCCTCACAGATTCGGGTCAGTTCCTCGTTTTCCTTAGTCTTTTGCTCAACGGTCTCCTCCAGGGACTGGATGCGCATCTGCTCCTTCCTCAGGCTGGCCTGGAAGGCCAGGGCCTCTGCTTGGGCCTTGCTGCGCACCTGGGCGATCTCCTCGTTGGCCAGCTGGAGTTTCTCCTCCGCGTGGGCCTTCAGGGCCTGGTACCTCTGGCCTTCCTTTTCAGTTCTTGCGATATAATCCTCCACACACTTCAGCGACTCTTCATTCGTGCGGTACCCCTCGATCACCTCCTTCCGATTCTCGAATCGCTTGAACAGGTCAGAGAAAGACTTTTCCGCCGAGCTCAGGTCTGCAGTCAGCTGGTTTTTTCCTTCAGAATCTTCTGGATTTCGGCTTTTTCGAGCTCTTTCTGTTTCTGGGCCTCCCCGGAAGTCCGGCTCCAGCAGCTTTCTCTCCGAGGGCTTCCTGAGGACGGCGTGGCCACGTCCTGTGCGCTGCAGGTGTCCGGGGCCATGGGCCCAGGTCTCTGAGGGCTGTCCTTCAGGAGTGGGTCAAACGTGGGGTACAAGGACTGTTTCCTCAGGCTGACTCCTTAACCGAAGAACTCCCGAACTGCTCCAGATAATCCACGTCATCCCCTGTGCCTAGAACCTCAGCTGGGTGTCGGAAGTGCTCCTCATCCAGGTGCGAGGGGGGGTCCGGCCCGGGCACAGGAGGGGGCGGCGCTGGCACAGCGGCGTGGCCGTAGCTCCCTCCTTGCCCGCTGTGCCCGGGGTCCCTGCCGCGGTCTGTGCCACGAGTACGTCACTCCCCGAGGCCGAAGGCACCTGCTGGCTTGGGGGGCAGCGCCCTGTGGCCTCCAGACCAGCAGGCGGCCGCTTGGCCACGGGCGCTGCGGGCCTGCTCTGGGGGCACGCTGGGGGCTGGGTCCCTCCTCCACTTTCGAACGGGTTAAAGTTTGGGTCATCCAGCTTGCTCCAATCCAGGTTGTAAGACCCCCGGGGAGGGGAACGGGCCCCTCCCCTGCCTCCTCAGGTGCCTTTTCCTCCTCAGACTCTGGTATCCTAAAGGGAGGTTTAAGGCCGGGTCCCTTCTCCGGTTCCCTTCCGCTGGCGGCATTGTCAAACAAATCAAATTCTAGGCCCGTGGGCCCACTCCTCCAAGAGGCGGCCTGGTGGCCATCGGCTTCTTCCTTCTGAGGATTTGGGGATGTGGCCCCTCTAGTGCTCAGGGAGCTGCCCAGGATGGTGTTCCCAGGACCAGAAGTGGCCTCAGGGCCGGCAGGGGCCTCCGCAGGCAGGACTTCGAGGGGCCCTTCTCCACATGCTCCTTTGAGGGGAGGAGAAGAGGGCAAAGTGGTCCTGGCCGAGGAAGCAGGGACCCAGCTAGAGCTCTCTCCGGCAGCCCTGTTACGACCTTCCGTCCTGGAAAGGTATTGACACTTTGTAGTGTCTTAGCCAACCTCCTCTTGGCCATTATCAGTCACGAAATTTCTTTCCTTCTTTCCTTGGGTTTGTTAACTTGTATGCTTTAATGCCACTTTGAAGGAATTGAATTCAAGTGTTTCTCTATCTCTATAGCCTACCTTGAAAAAAAAAAAAAGAAAGTTAAGCATCCTTCCATGTATATATGGTTATTGTGTCACTAATTAAGTTCACTTTAGACAATAATTTCAAAAAATTAAATACAGTAAAACCTTGTTCTGTGAATATTCCACAAGAAGATCAAACTTTTCTAATACATTTTAACTTGATAAACAAACGATGTCTTGCAATACAAGAAGTAGGTAATGCCAAACATCACATGATCACAACTGAGCCAATCCTTCTCTCTCTCTCTCTCTCTCTCTCTCTGTCTCTGTCTCTCTGTCTCTTTCTCTCTCTCTCTCTTGCTGTGGGATGGTGGGTGATCATCTCCCATGCTTGAATGCTGGTCTCAGGCTGTGGTGTTTGTCAGAAATCAGTGATTTTTCAGAATGTTGGAAAGTTTCACAACTAGCACTAGTGTATTTTTCATCACTTCAAAGTACCTGTGGACAGTCCTTTGCTTTTCCATACAAGAGTAAGCTTAGGAATGCTTTGCTTCAGTCTAGGTCAGGCTGCCTGAAGGTTTAAAACCTTTCCTATGCTGCCTTATTGCCAGTTAAATACAGCATATGACAAGAGTTTATTAATACTGTACTGTAGTCAACATCTGTGTGATGTTGACAATGTTCCTCATGCAAAAATGGTTGAAAAGAAAGATGTTAAGAAGAAGGAGATGATTACAGTGGAAGCTAAGAAGGAAAAGTGAGAAATACAAGAGGTATATGAGTGGCTGAAATTGCAAGATTTTCTAAGAGGTCTAAGTTTTCATCTTATCTGCAGAGGAGGAGGAGCAAAAGGCAGAGGAATCCCTCACCTCAAATGATATTAGGGAGGTGTGAAATGTGGGAAACAGTGCAAAATTTTGTAGCAAAGCACCACCCAATAATGCTGTAACAATGCAAGCGATGACTATTTCATGACGATGCAATGTCACATTTCCATGAAATCCTCAAAAGGAGATAAAAGTAACTGTCATTGGATAGGTTCCTTGTTAACTTTGCATAAAAAGAAAAAAAATTCCATTGAATCAATAGATAGCAGTGGTTCCATTAGTGATAATTAAAGTCATTTTATACAATAACCCTTCTTTCTTGTCTCCCTCATACCAGCCAGGAAAGTTTTCAAAGGTAAGTGCAGGTTAATTTGTTTACTTTTCTTTATATTTTGTATTTTCTTTATCATTTTGTATTATATTACAGTATTATGACCACTTTTATATGAACATTTTTAGGTTATGTAATGAATCATCTCAGTTTCCATTATTTCTTATGGGGAAATTTGCTTTGATATACAAATGCTTTGGATTCCAAGTGTGTTTCTGGATTGAATTATACTTGCAAAACAGTTTTACTGTATTATTTTTTATATGTCTTCCAAAATGTACCTGATCAATTCAACTACTTAGTTACTTAGTTATATGGGAAATAACCAGTTTTGTAACCAGATTATCTTGTAGTAGTAGTATTGGTTTTTCCTGGCCACCATTATATATATTATATATGTATATCTATCTCCTGAGTTTTTCTTTTGAGAGCTACTCCTTACCATTTCTGGTCCATGCGAGGGCTCAGCAAACTTTTTCTTAAAGGGTCAGATAGTAAATACATTTTACAGACTATATGATCTCTGTTGTAATTACTCAATTCTGCTATTATAGCATGAAAGCAGTTATGGTCAATACATGAACAAATAAGCATGACTATGTTCCAGTAAAACTTTACTGGAAAACTTGTGGGCCATAGTTTGTTAACCGTGGTGTATGGCATTCAGATGAAAGTGCCCTCTCTCTCCCTTTCTATTTCAAGTATAGGCACATGGTTGATTTTATCCATTTGACTATAGTGATAGGCATTTGATTGAAGCTGGACCAATAGGATTAAGTTGAGGGTTTTTGCTATTAGTATTAAGACAGATGAACTCTCTTTTAATTTAGAAAATATATACCTGGGGTTACTGGTGAGCTTATTGTCACTAGAAAGGGAGAAGTTCATCTGAAGGTAAAGCCAGCACAGAAGACCACAGAGCAGAGAACTAGATAGAGAGGATTGAGACTTGTTGTGTCAACAAGACCTAGTTTGTTTCTGGAAAACTTTTCCAGAAAAGATAAGACTGCAAAGCTAATAAATTAATGTTTGTGTGAAGTGATGTTTTTTTTTTAAAAACCTTTCCAGGATAAAATGATTTCAGGTTTATCTTTTGCTGTAGAAAGTTGGGGCTTTGGTTGCAAATTGTGTGTGTGTGTGTGCGCGTGCACATGCGAGCCAGGATTAGACCCAGAATTTTAATTACTTTAGAAAAGTTTTGGTCCTATACATAAGGGGCTATTTCCTTGCCCCATGGTCCATTCCCAAGAAAGTCAGTAGTTTTCTGTTTAAGCTCATGTCCTGTTAGCTGTCATATTTTCTAAAATGATATCAACCCTGATTGCTCCCAAGATAGACTATTATAAAGGCATATGGGTCTACAGTTGTCTAAGAAAAAAAGGAATAGACCATATACTTTTCAGGCAGTCTAATTCAACCTCACTGACACTTTTATTTGGGGGTTAATGTAGACAGTAGAAAACTGTGAATTCAGTTCAGTATTTTAATTTTGTTGAACTACATCTCAAAGACTTGCTATATTAGTTTACTGAAGGTCATTATTAGAAGTAGCCCTATGGAATTTGTTGCAGTTACTGGATGGCTATCATTAAGGATTTATTCTCTCCATCAGGCATTGTCCTTTTAATGAGAGTCCATGAGAAAAAAAATTTTCAAATCTCAGTGCTAGGAATGTCTAATTTTTTCAAATCAATTGAGTGGTTTTTTAAAAAAATCTTACAAATACCATTAATCAACTTTTTCTCTATGAGCAAACTACTACTCAGTGTTCAGTTTATGACTGACACTAGTGAAAGTTTAGGATATTATGACAAATATTTTTGAAAAATATATTTCAGTCATTGTTTTTTCCCAACCATTTTTTTCTTTTATACCAATTTTCTAACTAATTTGAAATTATCACATAGCACTGTGAAACTATATGTAAATATCTACATTACATCAGTTAATAGTGAAATGATAGCCATGAAAGGAGAAAGGTACAAGAAAAGGAAAAATGGGAAGGCACCATAGGCTGACTTTTTATAATCAATTTAACTCAGTGTTTTTCCTGAACCACTAGGTGTATTTTCTGGTGTAGGGGAAGCCAAGAATGTGTTTGGATTGTATTACTTCTAAACATTTTCCAATTCTCAAAGAGACCCCATCTCTTTGGGGACCTGAGCCCTAGAGTTGAGAGCACCCATAGGATTCACGCTTCTCTGACTCTGGGGTTCTCTTTAGGGCTTTACCAGATGGAAAACTAGCACCTCAGAGCCAGTGAGGTGGTGAGCTAACAGGCTTTATCGACAGATGGAGGACTCCAAGTGTGAATGAAAACAGCTTCAGCTTGAAAAGAAAAAATATTCTGAATCCAATCTATGTAAGCCAATACCCATATCAAACCGATTATGTAAAGGAATTGGTCCAGTGGCTACCTCCCTGACTCCACATAAAGGATATTTACCTGTCCACTGTTTTGTTAATACTTTTTAATAGATTATATTAGGTTGACAAAGAATGGTATTTTCCTCTTCTAAATGTGAACATAATGTAGGGTGAAGAATTCCCTTTTGTTATTGGTGGTGATAGGATAGTTATTAAATTCGGGGGCAAACCACCATAGGCTAACAATTTCACCACACATTGTTTAGAAAACCTTAGGCATATCCCCATACTCCTGGCTTACCTGAAGGTAAAGAAATAAATGTGTAACTAGATCAGATAGATCATTCAAGAAGAGGCCTGAAATGATTAAAGTGCTTATCTCAAGTAAGAAGTCGCCAGGTTGATCCCTATCTAACACTTCTGACTATTTAAATTTTTCCTGTTTTTAGAAATAATAACACTTAGGGAAAGAGGATACTTCTAGTACTTAGTTTTAGTCTTTTTATAGATTAATTTCACAACCTGTTTATCATAAGTATACAAATCCAATAAAAGTTTCTTTGGTTAACACTGTATTTTTTTTATCCAATGCAAAGAGGAAGTATTAACAAAATTCTTTTGGTATTTTAACTTTTAAAGATTTTTTAATTTATTTTGAGAGAGAAATTGAGTGTGCAAGAGAGTGGGGGAGGGGCAGAAGGAGAAGGAGAAAAAGAATCTGAAGCAGGCTCTCTCCACTGTCAGCTCAATCCACAAACTGTGAGATCATGACCTGAGCTGAAATCAAGAGTTGGATGCTTAACTGGCCACACAGACACCCCGTTAACTTTTTCTTACTCTCTATTTGTTTCTCAGCTTTACAAAGAAGTTCAGATATATATACTGCATTCTACTGACCACCATTTCACATGTTATTGGGTTTTTAAGTGTCTATGTATATAAATATACATATATACATGTATGTAAATATATGTACTTATTTTAAGTAATCTATGAATGTAAATGTGCTTCAGATAAAAATCATAAATCTCCACCTAAATTTAAAAGGCTCTCAAAAAAAAAAAAAAAAAAAAAAGGAGAGAGGATGCCTGGCTGGCTCTGTTGGTAGAGCATGTGACTCTTGGGATCTCAAGGTTGTAAGTCTGAGTCCCACATTGTGTGTAGAGATTAAAGTAAAATATTTTTTAAAATAATAGATAAATAAAAGGTTCTCTACCAATTTTAATCACTGACAAAATGCATTCCCCTTCACCCCCCACCCTAAGGCTCAGACAATCTAAATTTCAATTTAAAGCTGATTTTTAAATTCTAAAGAAATTATACATCATCTAAAGGTTAATATATGTTTGAAATATTTAAATTTGAAGAACATTTTATGATTTAGTGAACACTTTAATTGTATCATTGCTGGCAGTAACACTAGGAGACCTTTGGTAAGTCAGAGTTCTTTTGTTAAATCTGAATCGAAGTATTCAAAATGGATTTCCCTGTTGAAATTTCCCTACAATGTTCCCTTCCTGCCATTGGGAACATAGAATTTTTGCAGCAAAGTTGTAAAGGGCCGCACAAACAGAGCCATGTCTGAGGTAGTAGAGGAGCTTAACAGCCATGGGACCCTTCTGCACGAGTGACAACACTATATTGGTCATAATGGTGTATGGTCCGCCATCTGTCTGATAAGCCAGCTCAGCGTGCTAAGTGTTATTGACAGGAAGATGGGCAAACTGCCTCCTTTTGGGGGGCTCTGGCTGACCCTTCCTCAAAGCCTGGCAAACATTCAAAGGTCTGTTTCTTCTGTATAAAATACCATCAATCTGCCTGCCTCGGTATTTCTGTTTTCTTAGGGTACATGCAACATTCTTTATGAAAGGAATGGCTGTTAGTATATTCCACTGATCTAAAATGATGAGACTTAGGTGTCAAAACTGGGTAATGTAAACATGCCTTTTGCTTATAGAGAAAATTTATCAGATACCAGAGGGACATCTGATCAGCAATGGAGGTTAATGGCATGATGCTTCTAGTGATCACTTCCAAGTTACAAGGATGGTAAGGTAAGCAGTAAGTAAGCTGAATGCAGTTAACATCCAGCTGCTCATCCAACTATGCAAATGTAGTTAGATTTCTAGAGAGTCAGTTTTAAATGATTAGGGAACAGATGTGGAATTCAGGGCTTCAGGAGAGGGTACTCTTGACAATTACCTGTAATTTTTTTTCTCCTTCTTTAAAAAAACAGCTGTATTGAGGCATAATTTATATACCAGATACTATATAGCATATACTATTTTGAGTATAGGATTCAATGATTAAAACACTGTCACCTATCACTTTTTACTTTAGATAATCTTCTTCATTTTGAGAATTTTTGATAATATATTTTAACTAGGAGTGTATTACTTTTATTTCTGTTTGCTTGTTAAACTACTAGCGATTACTGAAGAAGGTTTTATAATGATTGAAGATTAGTGAAAACAAAAACTTAGGTCTAAGCATTGTGTAAAAGTTGGTTTCAGAATGTGATCCTTGAGGCTCCTGGGTGGCTCAGTAGGTTGAACATCCAACTCCTGATTTTAGCTCACACCATGATCCCAGGTTTTTGGGATTTAGCCCCATATGAGGCTATGGAGTGAGTGTGGAGCCTGCTTAAGATTCTCTCCCCCTACTCCTCTCTCCTGCTCACGCTCTCTCTCTCTCTCAAAGTAAAAAAAAAAAAAGTGTGATCCTCATCTTTTCTTGTAAACTTCATGTATAGGTCTAATTTTCCTTATCATAACAAAATATGTTCAATACAGTTCATTCAGTGCTATAATCTATATTATTCATTATATGCCCTGTTTCCACAGATCAGCAAATCAATTCATCATATATACGTTGGCTAGAAGCTATATTGCCAATTTACTGTCTATATGGATTTTGTACTTTAAAAAATACATATTTTTAAAGACCTTGCAGAATCCCTGTTTATGAAGTCTGTATCCCAGGCAACTTCAAAGCTTCCTAAGGAATATGCCAAATAGACAGCTGCTATAGCTTCTACCAAAAAACAAATCTTTGTTCACCTTGGCATCTGGGTTTTCCATTTGTTGGAC